GGTCGCCGATGCTACCACAGCACGGTGCCACTCTGGGCTTCAATGTGATGGCCGCACCAGGGCTCTGCCAGCACCTCCCACCAGCCTGCAACTCTCTCTTTCTCAAGCAGTTTGCCTCCTTTTTCTGCCTTCCTCAACCGTGCCGCCGGCCGGCTCGCCATTCAGTGGTCTTCCTGGCACTCTGGCGATGGCGTCGCGCTGTGCCCTCGGCAGTGACAAGCCATCTCTGCAGCCTCTCGCGCCGAGCTCCCTCCCAAGTGGTGCGAACCGCCGTGGCCTGCATGGTGGCACCATTCCCAGCAACAGCAGGTGCAGAGGGCCTGGCCCCCCTCCCAGGGGTGCCCACCGGCATCTTGACACGCAGCATCTTCGGGTGTCGTGGGGCAGGAGGGTGCTGGGGCCAGCCAGGACAATTCTGCTTCGGGAGGCTGCCATGAGGGTTGCACCCCCAAGCAGCTGGCAGTGCTGCCTGCAGCGTCCCAACCTCGCAGGCATCTTTGCAGACATCCAACAGCACCCAAAAGCGCCCAAGGGGCTCTTGCAGGACACCCCAGCCCCGCACTTGCAGCCCGATCCCCAAAGTCCAGAGGTTCCCCCTGCTCTGGTGATTCCCATTGACCTGCAACTGCTGCTTGAGGCTTTTTCCACCCAAAGCATGTCCAAGGACTCAAGTTGTGGAAGCAAAGGTGATGCCCCATCCCCATCTCCTGCCGGGCCCATCTCACCCCATCTCTTCTCAGAGGCCACCACAGACAGGGGCTGGACTGTGCCAGGGCTTCCAGGTGTGACTGCGTGCCCGGGGCAGAGCCCTGTGACCACGGGGAGGGCTCACAAGTGCGGAGAGCTGGGTGCGCCCACCTGCCCGAAATCGCAGGGCAGCTGGTGATGAAGCCAAGGGGGTGGAGAGGGGAGGAAAGAGGGGGAGGAAGGAGGGGGTGGGCAGGGAGGAGGGGGACAAGTGTGTCTCAGGAGAGGAAGGAGGGCAGGGACACTAACCACAAGATTGGTGAGGTGCAAAGATGGCATGCTCAGACCAAAGAAAAGCCTTTCCAAAGGAAGACGAAAGTGAAATAACCCCAATTTTTGCTAAAGCTTTGGAGAGATAGAGCCAGCAGCTAAAAAAAACACCCCAAAAAACTAAAAAAAAGAAAAACCAAAAAAAAAACACCTAAAAGAAAAAAAAAGAAAGAAAGGAAAAAAAATCAAAGACAAGGATCCAATCATAAACCAATCCAAGCACACTTCACAAGAAATGTGGCTGGCAGAGCTGCTGCGCGGGGAGCCAAACCCAGGCAGACTCAAAAGAAGTTGAAAGGTGCCGAGCTCCGGGGAACGTGCCCCCGGCATGGAGTGGGGCCGCTGCTGCAGGGCCTTGTTTGTTTTTTTGAGGTGCCCCCAAGAATTTTGTGGTTTTTTTGATGTTTCAGTTTTCTTATTGTTTTTTTTTTTAAATAAAGAAAAAAGGAAAAAAAAGGGGGAAGAACCCAGCTCTTTCGGTCTGAGGCTGCAGGACTCTCACCCCACCTCCGCCCTCTCTGCCTGCGCTGGTCCCCCTCCTCCCCACCTCACTGCCTGCACCCTGCCTGGCAGGGACAAGCCTGGCTTTAGCACACCGAGGTAGAGGAGCTGCAGCTCCACCCCGGTCAGGGCAGCCACAGCGAGGAGAGGTTCACCATCATGAGCCCCTCTGCCTCTTGCCTGGGCCAGAGGCTCTGGGACCAGTGCTGGGTGCGCATTCCCTTGGGAAAACCCTGAAGCAGAGCTGGCAGCACCGTATCCCATTTCAGGGATGGGCAGATTGTGACCAGGTTTGGCAGCACAGCCAGCTTTGCGGCTTGTGGGCTTCTCCAGGTCAACTCTGATGGAGCCCAGGGGGGTCTTCTGGCCAACAGGTATGCAAAATCAAAGCTCTTGTCCTTGGCCGGAGCCAAGGAAGAGTTGGAGCCTGCACCCAGTTCCCCACTACCTCCCTCAACATCTCCTGTGGCAAGCCAGCACGGATGGCCCCAAGCCAAGCACTGGGTACAGGCGGCAGAGAAAACGCCGCTTTTTGCAGAGCCCTCCTCTCCCTCCTGTGCCCGTCTCTCCCCTCGCTCCCCTCGGCCGCCTGGGGACATCCAAGCCTCTGTGTCCAGGGAGGCTCATGTTGACCGACACAGCCGGGACTGCCAAGCTGATGCCAGAGGCACGCACAGCTTCGAAGTGCCTGCGTGTCCCCAGCCAGCGGCACCAATGGTCACCCCGAGCTGGGTGGGAGGTGACTCTCCCTGGGACAGAAATACCCAGGGCTGACACTCCCACGTGGCTCCCCCGGCTCTTTCAGTGCTGGAGACGTGGCAGAGCTCCCCTCCTTGGGGGCTGCCCCAAAGGACCTGCTTAAAGGGTGTCCAGCGGAGCTGGCACCATCTGCCTTCGTCTGCTACCCTCTGCCACCACTGCGCTTGTCACAGCCCTACCTCGGTGGGCACCTCGGAGGCAATCCCAGCTGGCCGGCCACCCCCTGCGCCTCCGGGACACCCCAGAGGTGGGAGTCATGTCCGAAAGCAGTTCCCTCATGCGAAAGAGCTAGTTCCTTCCCGGCATGCTCTCCTAAAACCTCACCAACCTTCCTACTAAACTGAACAGGGGGGAGCGGTCGTAAAACGGATCCCGGCCATCACACAGCGGGCACTCCGGAAAGATGTCTTCCTCCAGGTCCTCCGCCTCCTCCTCCTCCTCCTCCTCCTCCTCATCCTCCTCCTCCTCATCCTCCTCCTCCTCCTCCTCCTGCCCCTGGTGCTGCTCCTCAGCAGGCTCGGTGATGTCGGAGTCGGGGTTCGAGAAGGTAGGGGAGGGGGTGAGATCAGCCATGCGCTCGCTCATGCATGTGTTGAAAAGAGGAGAGCTGTTGCAGCCAGAGATATCTGAACTAAGGTTAGTACAACAAGATAGAAGACAGGTTAACACCAGCTGTTCCAAACAGAGAGAGCAAGAATAGGAATTTTGCTTTTATGGTTTTTTTTTTTTCTCAGTTGGGTTTTGGGGTGGGAGTTTTTTTCTGCTTAAACCAAGGGACGCTGGGGAATAAAGACCTGCCCGTCCAGTGTGTCTCTAAAGGAAGCCACCAGTGGCCATCAGCTATAAAGGGCAGAGAAAAGAGTCACCCAAGGCACCGGTGCAAATATTGGGGATTCCCCTCGCTGGCTTTGCAGGCAACGTGGTGACAGAGCAGGTGGCACAAGGCTTGCCACTGCGCCACCACCAAAGGAAATCACTCCATGTGCTGTGGCACGGGCAGGATGCCTCCGTAGCGGATGCGGTGGGTTGGGCCTTGTGGCTCAGCCCCCTGCTCCCCCTGCCCGCCGGGGCAGACCCCTTCTCCAGGGTGGCCCGTCCTCGTTGCTCACACCACACCCTTCCAACCAGCGTGCCGAAAGCGCACGGAGACGCGCGGCACATACCACACAGGCGGATGCTCGGACACCAACGCGTGCACATGGACGCATGCCCGCCGGGGTGGAGGTCCGGGGTCCCGGCAGCCAATGTGGAGGCCAGACCCACCCTGTCCGGCACCAGGGGGGCAACGCGTGGTCCCACGGCATGGCCCCAGGGAGATGAACGCCCCGTGCACGGCAGAGCCGGCGGCGCTTCCTCCTGCAGGGCTGCCTGCAGATACCAGCTGCGCTTCAAAGGAGCCAAAGCACTCACCTGCCGACGAGCCTGAACCAGGGGAAGCGGTCATAGAAAGGATCTCCACCGGTCACCACGTTGTCGCAGTCCTCAATGACGCTAGAAGGCACTTCTGCTGCACGGTCATACATCTCACGCATCAGGTCCAGGCGTTGCCTGCAGGCAGAGCGGGACACAGCGGGCAGCAGTGAGAAACAGGGCTGAGGCTGGCCAAGCCCTCCCTGGTGCTGGCAACATTCACCCACCTCAGCTTCTCCAGGGTCCAGTAATGCGTCGCCCCGTTCTTCTGGTCCTGCACCTCTACAGCCACAATAGTGCGGGGGAATGGCCGCTTCTCCCGGTCCTTGGCAGCATCAGGAGGCAGCAGGTCAGGAGGGAGAGGCGAGTAAAGCGTGTCCGTAAGGAGCACGAACTGGAACTGGACCTGGAGAGGGGCAGAGGGAGATGATGAGCCACCCAGGAAGGCAGCAGGCTCCATGCAGTGCCTTCAGTGATCCCCTCCTCGGCACTTTCCTGGCTGCCCACACTTGTGGCTTCTGCTGTGGGTGCCATGGCAAGCCAGAGCGAAGCCCTGAGCACCCACCTTCTTCTTCAGCTCCACACTAATGGCGTTGGCTTCCTTGAGGAAGATGGCGTTGCCCCAGAGCAGGTCACGGAGGGAGGTGAACTGGTACCATTTCCACTTCCTAAAGGCCCAGAGGGCCAGCTCGAACTCCCGCTCCGTCCACTGCACTGTGGGGACACAGAGGGACTGTCACCCTGCTGCCAGGTGGGAGGACATCAGCGCAGAGGTGCCCAGTGGACCTGTGGTCCACTCTTCTTGCTCCCACAGAGAGCATCAAAACTCTGCAGTGGCATCCAGACCTCACCTTCATCCTCGGGTTCTTCCTCTTCCTCATTTGCCTCAGGGTAATATCTAGAGTCCATCTGCTTCTGCAAAGCCTCCAGTTTGCTCTCATAGTCCTGGGGGAAGCAGGGAGAGGGATGATGCAACCTACAAGGTGTGACCTTCCTCCATGGTGCCACACAGTGCTTCTCCCCCCCTGTAAAGGAACCCAACCTCCTCCCTCCTCTGGAGCTGTGTTTATGGGGACAACCCCAGGAACAACAAGTTTGCCGTTGTTTTTAGGACACACAGAGCCACCCCATGCAAACACCTGCCAGGACTCAGTCATCCCTGAGCAGCCTGAGAAAGAGCCAGGTCCTGGCTACCTACCAGCCTCTGCTGCTCGAGAAGGTAATTGGCCTCCTCCCGCTCCCTCCGGTACTGGTCCTCCAGCTCCTGGAGCCTGGGTGGAACGAGGAAGGAGAGGATGACCAACTGGGAGGTAGGCACCCAACTCCCTATCACCCCAGCCCCTGTGTCCTCACCGCTGCTCCATCTCCTGCTTCATGTCAATGCCCTGCTTCTCCAACAGCTCTCTTTGGGCAAAAGCCCAGTCCACGGGCTCGGCAGGGGTCTCAGCGCACGGGGTCCCCCCCCGCTCCTGCCGAGCCTGCTCAGGGTGGTTGAAACGGAAGACGTGGCTCTTCCCCATGATGATGCGGTTTCCTACAGGGATGCATGCAGGGTGGGGACAAAGGGCGTAGGTTTAATGTAGGACAACCTGCAGGGCCTCCATGGGATGGAGGGAGGTGGGTTAGAGAAGCGCTGGCGTGCCAGCTCTGGGGACCCACCTGAGCGCAGGATGCTGGGCTCCGTCACCTTTTTGCCGTTCACATAGGTGTCGGCGCCTTCACAGGGCTCCAGGGTCACTATTACTGCAGAGATGGCAGGAGGGGGAGAGAGGGAGCGAAGGTAAGGTGGAAGCAGAGGGATAAATCCTGATCTCCCGCTCCGCTGCCCCTGCAGCCTCGGAAAGGGAGAGCGTCCCCAGCCAGCACCCCAGGTGCAGAGTGGGGGTCACTAGGGTACCCACCGGCAGCACTCACACTCTGGGCAACCAAAGGGGCTGGGCCAGCCTCATGTTAACCAGAGCAGTCCCAAGGACTAAAAGCAGCTGGAGACTGGACGTGAGAGATCAGAGCCTCACCTCCAGCCTCCCCAGACTCGTCTCCCAAAACCCATTCACCCCCAGGGTCCTGCTGGTTTGCAGGGAGGGCTCTGCTCCATGTCTTGGGCAGGAGAATCATCTACAGTCTGCTCTTCCCCCCCCACCCTGATGTCCCTGGCTTGCCTCACCATGGCAGCTTCCACGTACCTTGCACGAGCTTCCCTCCCAGCCAGGCGAGGGCTGTAGCTCGCTCTAGAAGCATGGAGAGGCCACAGCCATGTGGGAGAGCCCCACTAGCCTGAGGAGGGCAAGACTCCCGGCTGGGGGCAGGTGCTGGGGGCACGAAGAGGGACTTGGTGTCGCTGCGGAAAAGGCAGTGCTCTTCCTTAATGAAGTGCCCGCTGAGAACGATGTCCTGCCTCTTCTCTGCATCTTCCCGGCCACCCCTGCCACAGGGAAACCTGGCTCGATCCTTCCTCAAAGCGGCCCCTCCCTGGGCCTCCCCCAAAAACCATCCATGGGGTTGACAGGAGCAGCCCTTGGTGCACAGCAGGACCAACGTCACTAACAAGATCACCAGGCAAATACACTTTTCCAATGTGGCTATGGCACTTTGGAGATGCCCCCGGAACGGTGCCCAGCCCAGGGATGGCTGTCACTCTGCTGCCCACCCCGGGCAAGTCAGGCACTGAGATATGGGCTAGGCTCCCAGCGCTCCATGGGTCCTGGCGCTCACCTTGTTATCCCGTCCTTGATGTAGTAGAGAAGACACTCAGACATGAGTGGGTCCTCGTTCAGGTTGACCAAGTGGGGCGTCTGCGAGAGACGAACAAGGAGTCACCCCGGTGCACCCCATCTTCCCAGGCACTGAGGGATGCTCCTGTGGGAGGTGAAAACTCAACAGCACCTCAGACTGCCCTCTGCTCTCCTGCCCTCTGTAGCTCTGCGACAACAAGGCCAGGCAGGCACTTTTCCAGAGGACTGCAGAGAACCCAGCAGCCAGTATGATGCTGACCTGCCTCCACAAGCCTCCTTGCTTTCCTCCTCAGAGGGCTGAGCCCTGGGCACCCTTACCCTGGATGCCTTTGAAAATTCATGTTGCAAACAGGCCCAACACGGAGGCAAACACTTCCCACGGGGAGTCCCTGGTATGGCTTAGCGTCTCATAGGGTGGGACCCTGCTCACTTGCGCTGCATGGCCACGGGCCCTTGCCTCACCATAGGTCCCAGCTCCACTGCAGACAGTGTAGCTGAGGCAGAGACATGTCCCATGCAATGGCTGGTTTAGGATGAGAGGAATTAAATGTGCCCGTTTGCCTCCACTGACAGTACAAGGACAGATGAAGCACCCAAAAGAGCAGGTCCCAGACCACAGGTTCAACCAAAAGTAGTGGAGACTTGAAGCTGTATCTCTAGGCCAAATTTCATTCCCTGGTCTCCTTCCTAACAGTTCCCTCCCATCACTTTCTTCCCCTGGTTCACAAACTACTTTGCTGTTGATGAGAGGGAAGTTTCTTCCCTGGCCACCGACCTCTGGCTGCAGCTAGCTTATCTCACCCGACCACAAGTTGCTGTGATTGCACTGTCAGGCAACAGGGAAAAGTCCAGGGAGTATCAGTAGGTGAAGTTCTGAATTCCCCAGAAATAAAAATAGAAACCATAAGAAATGTCTTATCAGTCCATTGACACCTGGCATGCAAAGGTTTCCCCATCACGATAAGACTACAAGCCCTGGGTGATAGGAGAGACTCACTCCAAATAGTGCAGGAGAGCTGGAGGTCAAGGGAAACGCAGGTTCTTCTCCATGGTGGCTGGCGGGAATAAGTTGGCCATAACGTTTAACCTCAGGCCCCTCTAGGCAGACACGTAGCCCCAGTGTCTGAGACCCCTTCAGCTTGCAGTTTTTCTCCAGATTTGCAAGGCTGGCCAGTAGAAGGCAGATGCTCTACCTTCCGTGAGCTCCTTGGAGATGTAAACACCACAGCAATGGCATACAGCAGGACAATAAAGTCCTGAACGAAATGGGGTTTTGCACAGTATCAATGCTAACTTTCCTTGCCAGCCACTGGTGAAGTCAGAGGAGTTTCCACCTGCCAGAAAGCTGAAGAGTGAGGAGGCACCAAGACCACCACAGCAATGCCCCACCTCCAGGACCAACCTGCTTCGGGGAATAAACCCCCATGCTTTCTACACAAAGGTCCAGAGTCCTAACAGGCAGTGGCTGAGACAAGAATGAGAAACAAAGATGACGGTGTAGAAATTTGTCCTAAGAATTGGCCAAGACACGCAAGGGGAAGGTCCCGAAGCCTTCGTCACCGAGTGTCACCACCTCAGCTGAGGACACACACATCTACTAAGACATTTGGCCAGGCCAACCAGCATCAGCTGCTGGGGCAGCCTCAGAGCATTCCTTGGTGCAGCGGGAGAGCCCAGAGAGGGCACCCTAGTCCTACCAGCACGTGCCTGCACCTCAGCACCCCATGCTGCTCTGGGGGCTTCATGGGGTTGAGGCTGTGAACTGGACATCGCTACCGCTATGGTTATACAGACGAGCAAGCGGCAGCGATGTGCTGCAACTGGTGCTTGGCAGGGTTCGCTGGCACACAGACTCTTTGGGGCATGGTCAGTATTTGCTTAGAAAATACTTTCCAGGATACTACAAACAGTAAAGAGGGCAGCAATTTCAAATACCCCAAAGTATGGATTTTTATAGGCTGACACTGAAGTCCAACACTGAAGTCCAACACAGCGATCATCAGCAAAGCCCCAACTGAATGGGGAGAGCACGCAGGCAATTGGGGCTGGACGTTCAGCCCTGTGTTTCTACCGAAGTTTGTGCTCAGCAGGGTCAACACTGGGATTTCACCCATAGGTTTCAGAGCCAAGAAACAGCTAGTGAAATACCTGGGGCAGGCCAGTAGCGACAGGGCAGGTCAGAATGGAGCTGTGGGGGTACAAACCAGCCCTTGTTTGCCAGAAAGAAGAGAATAAGATGATCCTACCTTTTTAGGAGAGAAAACACCCAAGGTGCCTCCATCCTCCCTCATGGCCACCCCCATTTCAGCCAGCAATGCTTCCCTGAAGGAGCAAGGGAAAGAAGAGCCTGGAAAAGCCCCACAAGCCCCTGAAGCCAGCACTAGACAAGCCAGACAGGACTTCAGCCCATGGGTTTGCCACATGGATCACAGCTGTAGGGCTTGCTTCAGCTCTCTCTGTGCCTCAGGAGGGTTTCTCAGAGCAGATCACGTCCACACAGGCTAACGTGGTGGACACTGGCGTGCCCAGGGGGCAGCCAGGGTACAGCTAGACAAGCAGATTGCCCGGCTGCCCCCAGGAGTGCAGAGCACAGAGGAGGGGAGATGCCTGGGGAACCCTACTTCATCCCATCCCATCCCATCCCATCCCATCCCATCCCATCCCATCCCATCCCATCCCAACACCCACCTCTCCATCCGAATTGCTTCCGTCCTGCGCAGCTTCTCCTCCCACGTCTCATTCAGCTCTGCGATGATCTTCTCTGTTTCCTGGTGAGCGTGAGGTTAGCGGGGGGTTAGCACATCATACAAGCAGCAGACCTGCCCACCCTGCCAGGCTCTGCCCAGCATGCCACAGCGGGACACCAGTCCCAGTTTCAGGCTGGTTTAAATGAGCTGCAGCAGCATTTCACCCACGTCTTTCCATCGTCCCGGCCTTCAAAGAGCGAGGTATGAAGACCAGCCTCTCCACACCCTTGCTGCCAGCCCGCTCCTGCCCCATGCTGAGCCGCGAGCACTAATCCCAAGCCAGGAGCGCCCATCCCACAGCACAAAGGCAGCAGTCACCCCAAGGGGAGGAAGGCAGCACCAGGTGGACCCTACCACACCAAACCCTCCGCCGTCTGGCAGTCCAGCTCTGTTTGCAGTCTGGCAGCTCTGGCTCTGTTTGCTCTGGAAGAGCGCGCTCGAGCATCGCTTCCCACGAGCCTCACTCCTAATGGGTTTCCAGAAAATACCAAGTCCCCCCCGCAAGCCTCAGTGCAAGAGCCTTGAGCTGAGCCCTCCATCCTACCGGGTGCCGGCCTCATACCTTGAGCCTTTCGATAGCCTCTTCGCTGCCTGGAGCAAACATGATACGCTCGTGGAGGCTGGCGACAGAGGCGGCACGGCTGGACAAGGCCGACAGGGAGGAAGAGGGGCTGATCCCAGCGATGGCGTTGGTCACTGTGGAGAGATTGTCATGGCGGTGACTCAGCTCTGCCCCTCTAGCATCATTATTGTTCTCAAAGTCGGACACATCTACGGGCGGGGAAGGAGGGATGGGCCAGGGAAAGACACACGGACAGGAAGAGACAGAGAAAGACAGAGACAAGAAAAGCTGTTGGGAAAAAGAAAAGAGTGGTCGGGTGCAGCGAGAAGAAAGCTTGCAATTACAAGGAAAAGGCACAGGCGACAGCGCAGCGGCACAGGCAGCAGCAGGGCAAGGGCACGTGCATCTCTCCCCCAGCCTGAGCAGCTCTCCAGGAGCACGGGGCAGTTTTGGGAAGCAGCTGTGGGAATAGCCCTGGACCTTTCCCAGGCTCCAGGGGACGGTTTTTTGCAACACCAGATCTTGCAACCATCAGGTCTGGGATCAACCGTCCTCCCCAACAGTGTGCCACTGCCCCTGCCATCCTCCCCTGCCGGCACAGCCTGGGGGGGTTTCCCTGCCCGGCTGTCCCAGATTAGCTGGATCTGGGGGCAGAGAATGAGAAGGGAAGGGGAGGAGAGGCAGCTGCCTGCCACCCTACAAACGGGTTGTGGGGATGGAGCAGGAGGAGCCATGGGATCCCCTTGCCAGCAGAGCCCAAGCACCTGCCCACTGGAGCAGCCAGAGAGACAGCAAAGTGAGGGTAGGGTGGCAACACACCCATTACAGGCAGCAGCGCTTGCCTGCCAGCACCCCGAGCATCAGCTGCCACCAGACCCCATGGCAAAGGGACTCAGGTATCAGACGCTCCTCCAGCCCCGAGAAGTCACAGGGGCTCGGTGTGCTGTGCTGGAGGCAGGCAGGGCACAGGTTAGTGGGTACAGCGTTAGTCATCCATCTCCATTAGCCCATGTCCGGGGCAGCTGAGCCAGGAGCCAGGGGCCAGGTCCCCATCTCCTCAGCAGTCTCACCACTGCCTGGCTGCACTGCCTGGCCCAGGGCGGGATGGGGCAATAGTGCTTATCCACAGGCAAAAACCTCCTGGCTGTCACCACACACCCATCTGTCCGGACAGCACCGTGCCAGCCCGCCCAAGCACTGTGCCAGGCTCCAGTCCCGACGAGTCCCAGCACTAGCAGAAGCAGCAGCAGCAGCGACAGGAAACATCGTGACAGCATGGAGGAAGGACTCCCCATGCGGATGAGGCCCTCGGCGCAGTGGAGGGGAAGGACGCTGGTCCCTCTGAGCACTATCCTGAGCCCAGGCGCTAACCACGAATCTGCCACCATCCCCTTTGCCAGCTCCATGGGGACGGCCAGCCTGCGGGCAAGCACCTCTCCATCAGCTGGGGCCGGCTACGGGAGCTCTTCCCCATGCTGCACAGGTGCCCCTGTGTGCAGCCTTACACCTCCCAAAAGCCATGAAGCAACAGAGAGTACCAGTGATGGGGAATACACACATTTGGATCCTCCCGCAGCAGGATGGGCTAAGAGAGAGAGAGAGGGCAGGGAGCGGGGGTAAGACAAAGAAAACAGAACAAGAGTGGGTTCATCTCAGCAGGATTTCTGACAGCACATGGAGGAGAGGCCACGGGTGGGCGCAGCCCCAGGAACATCTTCCTGGCATCTCTGCCGGGCGCGGGATGCTGAAGACAGGAGGCAGAGGGGGAGGTCTGCTGGGTGTAAAGCAGCTCCTCCTGCTTACGGGAGTGGGCTGGAGGTTGTGAACGCATGCTCAGGGGCTCGTTGGAGGCATCCCGATCACGCTTGGGCAGCGTGATGCTGCCACGCGGCTGACAGAGTGGGATGCAGGGCAGCTGCGGGGACGCCAGCCCCGCAGGCAGCGGAGCCTCCAGCCCCCCTTTGCCTGGAGCCACTGCCAGAGAACACTGGGTGGTACCCACTGTCAATGATGTCCCCGAGGCCCTGGGCATAGAGAAGGTCGCGCAGACGTGCCACCTCGTCCTTCAGCTCCCGGATGAGCTTGTTGTTGGGGTCCTCGTTGATGACAGCATTGCAGCGGATCTGCTTGGCACGGTCGGCGTACCTAGGGAAGGGCAGAGCCCTGAGCAGTGCAGCGGGGGGCAAACCCCCAGCTGCTGGGCAAGCGGGAGGGCCACCGAGCCCCTCCAGCAAGCAATCGTTTGGAGGATCCCAGCGCCGGGACAATCCTTTGGCCTCTTGTCTGAGGTTGCAGGAATCCCCGACAGCATCCCCCCCAGCCAGGGTTACCACAGAGGTGAGGAGAGCACATTGCAATGCCGGGGTTTCAGAGACCCCCCCTGCCCTCGCGCTCCTGGGGGACAAGGGTACTTCTTCCTACCTGAGGGTGCTGAGGGTCTCATCGTAATTGATGTCGGCAGGACTGAGAGCAGCAACCATGGCCGTCCTGGAGTTGCCCCCTGCCCGGAGAGACACACCCACATCAGGGAGATGCTGGTCCCTGTGCCAGCCGTCACCCTCTGCTTGGCAGCCATGCCTGTCACTGAGCCCATACCTCCCACCCGTGTCCTCACCCAGGTTCTCCCGCAGCAGCCAGGTCAGCACCGAGTCCCGGTAGGGGATGAAATCTGTCTTCTTCTTCTTTTTGTTCTGGGGGATGAGAGTGCAGGGAAGCGCTGTCAGGCTGTCTGCTCTCTTCAACGGGAAGGTGACAGCCAGCCCCCAGCCATGGGAACTTGGAGGAGGATGGCTCTGCTTGGCCACCTCGACTGCAGGCAACTCTGCTCAGCTCCACAGGTCCTGCCTGTGAAATGCCCTGCCAGGTGCCAAGACCCACAGGGTAAGGAGGGTGATGTCCTCATGCTGAGGGCTCTGCCAGCCCCCAGGAGAAGCATGGCTTGGGTCCAGGCAGAGCCTCACCTCCAAACCACCCTGTGACCCACTCCCACCTGCCTGTGCTAAAAACCAACACCGCCTCCCCCAGCCCAGCCAAGGCACCTACCTTGTTCGGCCCTGAATCCTGCAAAGAAAGTGGAGAGACTGTTTAAGTGAGCTGCTCCCCTCCTCGGCACCCACCACAGCTCCCCATCCCCCAAGCTGAGAGCGGCAGGCGCAGGTCCCCAGGGAGATGGCAGCTTTCACCAGCCCAGCTCATCCCAGCCCTGGGACAGCTTGGGATGTATCTGCCCGTGTCTCGGTGCAGGGATGCTCCATCCCTCAGAGCTGAGCCCATCCCCGCTGAGCTGAGCCCATTCCCCCATGGTGCTGTCACTCACCTGCACTTTGGCTACCTACCATTTCGGCCAGGGCAGAGATGACTTTCCCCAGTGTGGTCAAGGACTTGTTGATGTTTGCTCCTTCCTGGTGGAAAGAGGAAAAGCCCAGATGCTCAGGCCCCATTTCAGAGTGGCACTGAAGCCCGATGCACCAGGAGGATGGCGAAGTCCCAGTACGGGGTGGGAGAAGAGCAGCTGGTCTTACTGGGTAACTGGGAGCTCCCAGCTGGGACTCATACACCCCAGTGGAACTGGCACTGGGCAACTTTCATACAAAATCCCATAAAGGATTTTGAGAGCATAGTGGGCGAGGAACCAGGCAAGGAAAGAAGATGTCATAGGTAAGAACAAAGGGGCAGGATGCGACATCCCCGTTGGCAGAAGAAGACCTCGTGCCAGCTCTCACCTTTAGTCTTGTGCCCTTCGCGCCAGTGGAGTCAGCTCGCTCGCTCCCTGCCAGGTCCACCAAACTGATTTTGCTGACCTGCAGGCAGAGATGAGGCTGTCAGCCCCGGCAGGCACAGCAAAATGGGCCCTAACACGGAGCCAAGGTAGGAGCAAAGATCTCTTGCAAGGGGACACTGCTCTGAAGGCAGAGGTGGGCTCTGCGGGGTCATCCTTGCCGGGATTTGGCCAGGAGCAGGGCTAACATCCTAGCAGGCAGGGCTGGAGGGCACCAGCTGCCAAATATTCTATCCAGGGGCCAGCCCTCACAGGACTGTGAGGCCCGAGTGTGGCTGGGACTTATCTCCATCCAGCCGCATCACCTTGTCCCAGGTGCTGTCAATAGCACACAAAGCCCTTCCCAGGTCCCTGTTGGTTCCCCCAAGTGCCCCAAGCTCTGCTTTCACCTTCTCAGTAGTGATGTCCGTCTCAGCATCGTGCCTCTTCTGTGTGAAGATGATGTTGAACACAGCGTGGGAGCGGCTGCTGGTCTCGTTCATGTTGGTGGCAGCCACTGTGCTGCAGGGACAGGAGGACAGAGAGGTATTACACTCTGCAGGGGACACTGGAGCAGCTGGTGATGGGGCCAGGGCTCACTTCAGGACAGAGTACATCATGGGAAGGCAAATCTGGAGGACAGGAGAGGACTCTGGGAGGAGACATGCAAAAGTCCAGGCTCTCTCCTGCTGGCTCCAGGGCATTCGGAGAGCAGGAAGCACCAGTACAGGCTTGGGGCAGACCTGCTGGAGAGCAGCTCTGTGGAGAGGGACCTGGGTGTCCTGGTGGATGACAAGTTGACCATGAGGCAGCAGTGTGCCCTGGCTGCCAAGCAGGCCAATGGTATCCTGGGGTGCCTTAGGAGGAGTGTGGCCAGCAGGTCGAGGGGGGGCCTCCTCCCCCTCTACCCCCACCTGGAGTACTGTGTCCAGTTCTGGGCTCCCCAGTTCAAGAAAGATGAGGAGCTACTGGAGAGCGTCCAGCAGAGGGCTACGAGGA